GTTCTTTTATTGTTCTTTCTCCTCATTAAAGTCTTCTCATTTTCTTTTTCCTCCCAGTAAGGCGTTGTATCTCAGTGGCTTTATATTCATCTTCTGTCTTCCTGAATTCTGTTCTTTTATTGTTCTTTCTCCTCATTAAAGTCTTCTCATTTTCTTTCACTCCCAGTAAGGCGTTGTATCTCAGTGGAATTCTGTTCTTTTATTTTTCTTTCTCCTCATTAAAGTCTTCTCATTTTTCTTTCACTCCCAGTAAAGCTTGTGTCTCAGTGGCTTTATCTCAGTGCCCCATCTTCTGTCTTCCTGAATTCTGTTCTTTTATTGTTCTTTCTCCTCATTAAAGTCTTCTCATTTTCTTTCACTCCCAGTAAGGCCTTGTGTCTCAGTGGCTTCATCGCCATCTTCTGTCTTCCTGAATTCTGTTCTTTTCTTGTTCTTTCTCCTCATTAAAGTCTTCTCATTTTCTTTCACTCCCAGTAAGGCGTTGCATCTCAGTGGCTTTATCGCCATCTTCTGTCTTCCTGAATTCTGTTCTTTTATTTTTCTTTCTCCTCATTAAAGTCTTCTCATTTTCTTTCACTCCCAGTAAGGCCTTGTGTCTCAGTGGCTTTATCGCCATCTTCTGTCTTCCTGAATTCTGTTCTTTTATTGTTCTTTCTCCTCATTAAAGTCTTCTCATTTTCTTTCACTCCCAGTAAGGCGTTGTATCTCAGTGGCTTTATCGCCATCTTCTGTCTTCCTGAATTCTGTTCTTTTATTGTTCTTTCTCCTCATTAAAGTCTTCTCATTTTCTTTCACTCCCAGTAACTTCTTGCATCTTATTGGCATTATAGCCTTGAAATAATTAAAAAGAAAAGATAATATAAATTTGTTTGTAAATCAAACACTAATTACTTTCAATATCTTTTTAGATGTCATGTATCTTCAGAACTTACAGGGTTATGGCTCTTTGCAGCTTCTTTTTCCTTTAATATATGTAAACTGTGCAGTCATGCTTCTTTTTCAGAAAGATAATAGAGTAATTTCCTGTTCCATTGTTTTGAATTATCCTTTTCCTAGATTGGTCATCCTACAAATGCTAGAGAACCTAATCTGCCTTACTATTTTATTCATTACTGGAGAGAGAAGAAATGTATACATGCCTTTCTCCATGTAATGAGTGTGTAGTGAGGCTGGAATTTGAACTCTACCTACTGATTTCATTTTTTGCTATGGTAACCAATACATCTCCTGTATATCCATGAGCTGCAAATATAATTTCCAAAAATTACTTTTATACTTTAAATCAGTTTGTTTTAATATATTTTACAGTTCTTAAATCCTAAAAGTAGTTACCTAAAGTAAAATAATTTCATTAATGTATTGATGTCAATCCTCACTGAGTACTCTACTCGGGCATGTCGCCAAAGGTGGGCTGCCCACCCCCGCCACCTGTGAAAATGATGTGAACTTCTAGTATGCAAGTTCTTATTTGCAGTCCCTCTTACTTAAATGCCACCCCTCCACATTCAAAACACTCTGATGATGAACCTGATTCTACTGTAGTAAACTTGTGTTAGATTAAGATAAAAACTATCTAATTGAAATAATCTTTTTTTTTTTTATTATCTCTTTCACTGCATTTTTAAATTATTTTCAATGTTTAAAAGATGTTTTGAAAGGGAATGTTTTTAGTTTAATTTTATCAAACAGTTTTGTTTTTTTATTTAACATGTGACCAAACATTTCTGCATAATTTTAAAATCATCTTGTATTTTTATATCAGTAGCTAATAGATATTTTCATATAACTTTATAAAGATCCATTGATAAATATTATCAATATATATAAATGTAACAATTGCTAGGTCTCCTGCTAGAAAAGTTGGTCCAGTGTGTCTTGCTAGGCAATTTTTATCACCAGAATCTATCTTTTATTTTTTTAATCATTTCACCATAAGCAAGACAATAAAGCCACTAATATGCAATGGGTTACTGAGTGATAGAGAATATGAGAAAAAATATCAAAAATTCTATTAAGAAGCAAGAACAATAAAAGAACAGAAATTAAGACAATAGTAGATAATGATTGACATTGCATTTAAATGCATGAAGATCAAACTTCACTGGAAAGCAAGAAACCAGAAGAGAGTTCCACAAGCGAGAAGGGCAAGAAAAAAAACTATTAGTATAGAACTTACATTTAAATTTAGCCATTTCAACTGTAAAATGGCGAGAGCTTGCCGATAATCTAGTATTACTTAAATTCATAAAATCTAGGTATTACGGAGGTAAGTTTTTCAAAACCATTACCATGAAATTATTTATAAAAAAGACACAGGGAAGCTATGTTACAGTGATGGGAAAATGACTGTAGCTGAGATGCCAGGTCATTGCAGATTCTTGTTTAGATTTTATCAAGAATTTCTAAAAGGAGCACTACATCAGATGTGGCAGCAATATTCAAAGCAAGGGTGAATGGTAGACTTATAAATGTGCAAGATAGATTCTGATGAGAAAAATTGTCTAACATAACATAGTGAACCAACTTTCCTAGTAGCAGACTTAGCAATTAATTCAATATAATCTTCCCATTTCATGTTAGTAGAAAGCATTAGTCCAAGAAGGCACAATGAGTCACATTTATTTACACATTTATAAGTCATCTATTCATCTATGCATTGAATATTTCTGTCATATCAGGTCTAGTCCTTCCATTATATATTTAGAGATTCTTGATAAAATACAAAGAAGAATCTGTAATGATATTGGTTCTGACATAGTATGTCGGTTTCAGTCACTTTCCCACTGCTATAATGTAGCTTCCCTGTGCCTTTTCTATAAATATTATTATAGTAATTGTCCTGATGAGATTTCCTCTTTTGTACCTTTACTTTATGAATTTAAGCGCAGTACTAGATTGGTGGCAAGGTCTCATCATCTTACAGTTGAAATGGATAGATTTTAAAATAAGTTCTATGCTAACAGTTTCTTCTCTTGCACTTCCCACTTGTGAAACTTTTTTCTAGCTTCTTACTTTCCAATCAAATTTGATCTTTGAACATTTAAATGCGATGTCAATAGTTATCTTCTGTTTTCTAGTCAACTTTGATCTTCAAAAGTTTATTTTTTTAAAAATTTAAATGCAATGACATTCATTATCTACTGTCTTCTTAATTTTTGTTGTTTTATTGTTGTCTCTCCTTAATAACGTTTTCATTCCTCATATTATGCCACATTCAGTTACCCCTTGTGTCTAGGTGGATTTATTGTCTTGGGGGCGAAATGATTAAACATATATATATTTAGAATAATTGTCATATAATTTTTTAAAAATAAAAATGATATATTTTCACATGTCCATTATATTGACTACTCAGTCTAATAAAAATATAAGAAACAACCTGAAATGAATTAAAAAGCAGATGCTCAAAAGAATATTTATGGCCCATAAAATTTTATTTTGCAGTTGTACTAAAAGATAAAATTTTGAATTTGCATAATTTACCAAATAAAATTCATAGGTAGATAGTTAATGTATTGTCTGGTTCACGTTCCTCCCTGGTCATTTGAACAGGAGTTGAAGGTTGCAACTTGTTTCCTGTCTAGCATTGGGTTTCTGGTTACTTCTAAGATCTTCCCATTCTCTTTCACTCTCAGTAGACTCTTGCATCACAGTGGCATTATTACCTTCTTTCAAGTGAATTGATAAAAAAAAAAAAATATGCACACACACAATATAATAATAATAATATAGTAATTTAATATAAGAAATTAATTTCAATGTTATGCTTTGTTTTGGGAGTATTGTTTAACACATTTCATAGTGAAAAAAGGTGAAAAAATGTCGATTCTTAGATATGTTTTAACTTGACAACCATGTGTTTTTGTTAAAATTCAGACTAGAAAATTTTGATATAAATGGAACTTCTATTTAAATTATACAAAAGAAAAAATTACCTAAATTAAAAAAAAAACTATTAAAAATTATCTAAAGCTTAATTAAAAATCAATTTAATGAGATGCCATTGTTAAAATGTCTTGTCATAATTTGAATAAAAATTTCTCATTTTCAATGCAATAATACTTAATTCTTTGCAAGGTACATTTGAATAAACCCATTTATTTACACAATGAAAGTAGTAAAAAATAGATAAATGAAAAATTGAAATAAATCATTTTACTTGAAAATTAGAGTTTTAAAATATTCACATCTGTTGAAAAATACTGAAAGAATATATCATCCTGAAATTAGAAATTTTAATGATAAAAATGTAACTTTTAATTAAAATTTAAATTTTAAAGTGAACAGGTAGTTTAGTGTTTTTTTTTTTAAAATTACATCACAGGAATGTCATTGTTAGAATACTTTGGTATAAACATTTTTTAATAGTGGGTTACTTTTTTAAAGGTAGGTCATGACATATGCCGTTGTATATATATATATATGTGTGTGTGTGTGTGTGGACATAGAAATCACCTCAACACTGCATGGTGACTGTCAGTTTCACGCCTTAGGTGATCATCATACATAAATAACTGTTTTAACAGCAATATATCTCCGATATTAAGTGTTTTCCCCCATAACTATAGCAAATTTTAAACAATATTTGTAATTACTAAATCGTAGTTGTATCAATGTTATGTTTATTTTAACTTAGTTAATTTTATTTTTATTTCAACTTGTAGAGAAAGAGAAGAGGAGGAATGAGTGACGGAATGCAAAGGAAAGAAAAATAAATGTATGAATTGAAGCCATGACTCATCGAAAAGCCCGGATGTTGCATTCGAGGCTGGCAAGATGGCGCTGTGGAGCATTTACCAGCGACAACAGCAGCACTGAGCACCGTGGCCCCGGAGTATACTAAACAGATAAACGAAGGCGTATATCTCTCTGCCATGACGGAGACAGCAAGTATCGCTTTATGGACTACATCTTGCTGAGACGGATTTAATTTTTTGAGTTTTCTATTTCGAAATATTTGTTTAGAACAAAAATAAGGAGAAAAATATTAACACAGAACAATGGCAACCGATAAAGTTAAAGTGGCTGTGCGCGTTCGGCCCATGAATCGCCGAGGTAAGTAATTAAACAAAAATTAAAATTAAACCGTATATAAAACGAATTATTATTTTTTAAATTAAAGACCTGTTGTTGATATCCTGTGTTCTTGGATCTAGATTCTCTTTTCCTTTTTAGCTGCAACCGCCACCACAACGTTATTCAATCGTAGCTAAAAATGTCGACTGCTAGGATAAGAATCAAGCTGTGGTTATTGTCGTTTGTCACGAACACACAATGATCACAAATTCGAAACTGAACAAAAAATACTGATAGATTCATTCATTCACTGATGAATCAAACAAAACCATTTTCCTGTTTATTTAAAAGATATCAAGTAAAATCAATTTCTTTTAACGAAGGTCTGTTGATTGGGTGAGTTTTAAATTCGTAGAGGTTCCACCCCTTATGTCGACTGAGAGTCACTGTCAAACTGATTCAATTTTAAGCAAATAAATAAACAAAAAGTTTATTTTTGTCATTATGTTTAAATAATATCTGTGCATTTCGTTGATTTTAATGTCTGATGTATTAATTATTTACACTCAAACCTACACACATCTATGAAAAAACAAACTACTCGCCTTAATGAATGAAATTATCATTTTTCTTTTTTCAATGTTTCTCTTTGACATTTTTATTTCATTTCCACCTAAAAAGAATAATATTTTGTTTATTATTTGGAATAGTGAAATGCGAAAATTAAGCCTTTTCTTGAATTAATGAGGAATTTCATTGTAAGGAGGAAAAGAAAAAAGATAAACTCCTGTGTCAAATGCTTAAAAAACTTGGTCTTATAGAAACTGTTGCTTTTTTTCTTTCTTTAAAAAGTTATTTATTTATTCTACTAAAAATATTCATATATCATTAAAAACATACTTACTTTTTTTTTTTTTTTAAATCTGTTCATTATGCTCTCTAAACCATGACATCATTTGTTAAAGACAGTACATATATTGTGTTACATTTAGAATTTTGTATCACCATTGCAAATTTAACCACAAATTTATTAATGGTCGTCTCTTTCTTTTTTTGAAACCATTTGACCGTAAATAAAATTGAAAATGATCCTTTCTGTAACGTTTTATTTTAAGTAAGAAAAAAAATTTGTTCTTCGTTTTCAATCGACGACGTATAAGGAAAAAAAAAGTTAGCACCAAGCCAATATACTCAAAGTCAAAGATCGAACTAGGCACAGGTGATATTGCGATTGATTTATTATTGTGAAATTGAACTCCTTCGATTTTTCTTCCTCCCTCATCATAAATCCTCTAAAAAATCATTTGACTTTTCCTGTTTTTAAATACTGACAAAAAATTTAGTTTTTTTTTTCTGCACCTTGTTCAGTGTTCTGTTCAAGATGAAGCTACAAAAAGACAGTCTTGTTCTTCTTGTGGGTTAAATAAACTTGTTACGGTAAAGCAATAAAGGAATACTGCTCGTGCCTTTTTTGGTGATGTATATGACCCATTTTGTTGTCGCTCTGCTAGAATTTTTTCCCCCCAAATCTGTCTTCTTCATCTTCTTACCCCCACTATCGTCGCCTTCTTAGTGACATTATAGTAAATATCGATATTTTCAACTTATCTACAACTACTAACCTAGTCAGCAGCTGTAAATCTTTCAAGGTGTTTCGCTTTCCAATTCATATCTTTAATTTTTATCTTTACCCTGTGTGGTTGTTTGTAAGGCTAGCTAACAGTTAGCTAGCCTTACAAACAACCACCATGTTACTTTATTTTCAGTTAGTTACATCATAAATAAAAAATAGTTTGTGCATGTATTTTTCTTAACACAATTACAGTGGTAGGCTAGTAATACAGTAGTCACCGTAAATTGTTGCTTGTGTCGTTTCACTTGTGTAAATTATAAATATGCAGTCATTTTCTCCTTGTATTCTCAAGTGTTCGATCGAGTAGTAGAGGTTATTGAACAAATCGTTTATTATTTGTTCGTTGTATCGACAACAAGCGAGTTACATGTTGTTATTAAAAAAAAAATGTTCATTTTTTTTTTTTTTCTGTGACAAATGTGATTATGAATTCCTCGTTTGTCCCTTCTTTTATCATTGCCTGATGCTGTTTCGGTTCTTCATCCCCTATCAGGAGGTTCTCATCATAAACACATTCATTCATTTCATTTATTTACCAATCTATTTTTGTACGCGACCTCCCTCTGTTGGTACTACGTGTTTTTATTCTCTCGTTTCTTGTTCTTTACTTTCTTTCATTCTTTAACACGTGGACCCTTGTGTTACTGATTTTATTTTTTGGTATTTTTTTTTTTTTGTTTTATTAGTTTCTTCTCGGTTTAATTTTTAGTTTTGTTTAAATCTCAGCATTAAAAATAATAATAAAGTAAGTAGTTTAGTAGTGGTGTTTATTTACAACCCCAACTGAAAAGAAGTTGAATTTGAGTGCTTCACGCATATTCAGAAACCAAAAGCATTTAAAAAAACATTCATTTCAAGGTGGTGTCTCTAACAGATTTATAATACATTCTATTTAAATTAAGTAAATACTAACCTCTAATTATTTGGAATTTCTTGGCTAGGAGTAACTAACTAACATGTGCTTCTTCTTGACGAAAGTTAAAAATTTCAGATCACTCTCTAGTCCAGTGACCAGTCACTCTTGCCTCGCATATGAAATGAAGAAAAAATTAGCCCCCGACAGCACTAGTATTCAATTTTATTTTATTTAGTCTGCATTGAAAGCTGGCTATTCAGAACTTCAAAAAAGTAACCATAATCATATTTAAAAAAAAATTGAATTGTTCATGTTGTTGGGTGCACATTTTTGTTAAAGAAAAAAATCAACTGATAATGATCTTTTACAGCAAAAATTGGAAAGTTTGATTAAAATTAAAATATTTCCTCTTGGATAACTTTTTGAAATTAATTGACTGATGGCTTTTTTAAGAATCTCCATCTTTTTATTGTTTTTTTTTTTATTTTTTGTTGTTGTTGTGTAATGACTTTAATTTTAATCTAGAACACTATGATCTGTTTTCTTTTTAGTGATTGATTTTTTTAAAAATTTAGTCTTAATTATCTGATCCAATTAATTTTGTCTGATTACCGAAAAAAAGTATTTTGTTCTGTAATAATATTAATATTCAACCGTCAAGTTCAACGGTATTGAGCGTAATTAGCATAAAAGAAAAATATTTTTTATAACTTTTATGATAAAAGTTATAAAAAATATTTTTCTTTCAAAAACCCCCTACTAAACTTCGATTAGTCCCGGTCCCTGGGTGAAGCACTGAAGAACTTCACTGTTAAGAAAAGAAAAAAAGAGCTTCTAACAAGCTGAAAAGACCGCATGATTGTTTTCGTTAATAACATTATTAATAATAATAATAATAATATAATTCATTTTTAAAATCAATCCAAAGAGCAAGTAGTTAATTTGAAATTCTTGTTCTTAATCTTAAAAATGATTATTTGTAAAAATTGCCAGCGGGGAGAAAAATCCAACTTTTGTTTTATTTTTATCACCCCTCTTTTAATCTAGTCATAAAAAAAATCATTTTGTTTTGTAATCTGAATTCGTTCAAAGAAAAAAATGTGGTTACACAGCTCATTAATATTAGTAAAAATTAAAAAATAAAAATTAAAATATATTGGATTGTAATGTTAAAAAAGGGGGGTAATACAATACTTGTCTTGAGGTTTTAAACATAAAACCGAAAAAGTGTCACTTACTAACTAATTAGATTACTAAAGTTACGTTACTAAATAATACTTAAACTTAATAAAAATGATAAAATAGACATATTATCTTTTATTAACCTGATATAATATTGACCTTAACAACAAGTTATGTTCGAGCTTATTTTCTCAGCGAAGCAACAAGAAAAGAGAGAAAAAACCGTTCGTTAGACATTTTTATTTTATTTGCTACTACTCGATAATAAAATGTCACTGCAACTAACCCCCCCCCCAAACCACTTGTCGATGCGTTGTGAATTTGTTTAGTGCAGGCGTGGCTGCTGATTCTTATTTCTGTAGTGTAGAGTGAGGTGAGTAAAGGAAGAGTAGTCGTCCTGTATCTGTCCAGACGGACAATATTAAATCTGATCAACTGCCTGACCGTCGTGGACAGAAAAGAGGAAAAGTGGTGTGACCCAGTCAATAATAAACACACCTGTGAAAGCGGAAAGAAAGAAAAAAAAATCGTAGTGGCGGCAAAAAATCTAAAGGTCATTATTCATTAATTTGAATTTTTACTGATTCGCACGGAATTTCATAACTTGTATCATTAATAAAATTAAAATACTTCCAAACCAAAACCGTAACAGCTTGAGATTAATTATTTTGTTTGACTCTTGATTGTTTATTTATTTTTTTTAATGTATTTTTTTTTACTTTCAAAGATCATCCATTGAAAAAATGATTTTTCAGTCAAGCAAGATCTGCTGACTGATTCATTGAACCCCCACTTTTTCTATAAGTCAGCAAAATGATGTGAATAATTAATCATTGTCTGGGAAAGATTTGGTTAGTCTCGAGAGTTAAAAAAAAAACAAGGAAAATTAAAATTGGGTATTCAGTGATATTTTTAAATTTTTTATTTTTTTTTTATTTTTTATTTTTTTTTTGTTGTTACTGTGAAGAAAAATTCTCTCATATTTTTTCTAAATTTGTTCAAAAAATCGAAAACTTGTTACTTGGGCTAAAAAATAAATCAACTTATTTTTTTTATTGCGGTATTAAATTTAATTAACCTTTTCAATTTCAGTGCAGTAGTCCACACAGCTGTTATCTTACCGTAGCGTAGTTGGAACAAAAAGAAGAGACGGGGAGAAACAAAGCAATACTGTTTTTTTTTCTAATGTACCCCTAACAAAACATGTACCCTTTTTTATATAAGACTAAGGGATTACGTAAAAAGCACTTTTATGTTCATGCATTGAAGATTATTATTAATTATCGGACAAATTATTGCGTTTACTTTAATTCAAGCTTGTCATCCATTTATTTCATTTTCAAACTACGTCGTTGCATCTGTCTCTTT